CTAAAAAAAATTAACTTATTCGCAATGTTTTTGACTATCAAAGTAAAAAAAAAATATACAATAGGTCGTGTATATTTTTATCTTTCTTTAAAAAAAATAAATAAATATTTTAAGATATTCCTTGTAATCTACCTCGGTATGATGATAAATTATTCTCATGAAATAAAATGTTATCACTGCGGATCATTCGAAAGTGAGTTATTTAATTACCTTTTTATACATAGGCTGTTTTTTTTTGTAAAATATTATTTCAGACTTACATAGTTTCATTTTAAAACTATTTCAAATTCGTAAATTATCACTTTTCGACCATAAACATAGCCATTATTTAATGAGGAGGGTAGGGGGGAATCTAGTGTTGTTAAACGGCTGGATTTGAGCTCATTTTTAAATACGGCAAACTCAGTATTTTAGCCGGAAAACAATATTAGGCAAGCCTGAAGATTTTTGGTTATAGATGGCACAAAGGTTAGGGCTCTATTAACAAAATCTAGAGGCTTTTGCAATATTTTTCTGACTAAAATATTGATTTAGCCGTTTTTAAAAATCGACTCAAATTGAGTTATTTTATCTAAACCTTATTCCAGGACTTTAGGATTTACTAACTGAACGCCCTTAGCCGTGCTGCATTTTTTTGAATTTATATTTTTTTTTCATTAAAATTTGAATTATAGATCATTCATATTAAAAAAAATTCTCTTTAAATAATTGTCTATAGCAATATGTTGTTTAAACATTTCGAGTGTTGTGTGTGGAGCGAAATATTTTTCTAATGTAAAATGATACGGTACCATGCAGATTTCTCAAGGTTATAAATTTAAAGGGTATTTAAGTTTAAAAATCGTAACTTTGCAATATACTTTATATTTTTTAATAACAAAACTCAAATTATTTTAGATGTGGGAACATGTCAAACTCCTTTCAAAAGAAAAGCTAGAATTGTTGAAGGTATATAATTTCAGATTAAAACAGCGTCTACATGACAAGATATTCACTGAAAGCAAGTCCCACCTTAAACCCTATACATACCCCTCTAAAAATAAATTTGCTCACACATTTTTAATTATAATGGTACTCCCTTCATTTATTTTAAAAATAATAACTTAAATTATCAATACACTAAACCAACTATCAAAAAATTGTGAATAGGAGTTTTAAAACTTTCTCATTTACGATAAATGCATTATTAATTTTGTTTACCATGAATATGTGTTAGCGATAGAATGTTTAACCCTTTTAAATTACATTACAATAGATATAAGTTTATTTAAAAAATAGTGACTAATATATATAATATTGGTCGATATTTAGAAATCTATTTATATTATAATAGGTCTACAATTAAATCATAAATAATTAAGTAGTATAATATCCATAAATATTTTAAAAATGTAAAAATACCACTCTAATATACCTTACTCTCAATTAAAGCCTACCCCCCAATCTCCCCTGAAAATGAATGCAAACTGTTCTTACCTCCCCCTCCCCCCCCCCCCACGCTTATGTAGACGATAAGATATAAGATCATATTTAGTATAATCGAAATGCTAGATTTTAGATAAAATATGTCATCCTCGTTTTTGATGAAAATATGTTTGAACCGTTTATCATAAATATGTGTACATTTAACGCTTGTAATCTTGATTTAGCAGCATTATTTTTTAAATCGGCTAATAGAAGTTTTCGACTGACAAATAAATTTATATTATTATTAATTTTTTAGGCGAAGGCATTTGCTACAGATATACAGATTCCCGTGTTTCGACAGTAGTAAGAGGATTAGCTTTGGTAAAATAAAAAAGAAATGCTAAAATTTTTATGTAAGATGGAAAGTAGTACGCCATTAATTTTTTTTATAGTAAATAAAAATTAATAAATATTTAGTAGATATTCACTTACAAAGATATTATGTATGTAATAAAATTAAATATTTTATATAAAGCGATGTTTAGAGGATCCCAATCTCGAATGCTGCCATTATGATTTGTGTAATTCATCCCGTGCAAATTTAAAAATTGATATAAAATACTTAACATATTTGATATATATTATAAAGCAGATTTTATGAATTGATAATGGAAATTAATCATTTTTTTTGTAAATAAAATGCATAAATTTTGTAATACTAAATATTTAATTTAAGGAATAATAAAAAATGTGTAAGAAATATTACACAAAATCATAAATTTTATGGAATGTATTAAAAGTATCGTTGATTGATAATAATTATTGTAAAATGTTATAGTTATTGACACAGGATATCTTTTGGAAAATAATAATATTTTAAAATAAATAAAATATTAGATTAATCGAATAGTAACAAATTTAAATAATAAATTAATTATTTACGCTTAAACAGTTTTTCGAATTAAATATATTAAATTATTCGAATATTCAAATAATTGGTTTATAAAAAAATAAAAATGTAATATAAAATAAAAATAAATAAAATTTTTAACTAATATTTTATTGTTTATTTATATAATATCCTTATTTACTTAAGCAAAATGATGCTTTTTTAAAAATTGTGTTCATATCCACATTAATATTTGAGAATCATTTTATATAGGTTATAATTTTATTTTATTTTCTTATAATAATTTCAATTTTCATTATAATAAATTACATTTTTATTTTTTTAAACAATACAAATTGATATATCAAAAAAACAATGTTAAGTGAATTATCAAATGTCACATTAAAATGATATATATAAAAAAAAGGTTAATATAAATTTTTGACCGAAAGGTATAATCTCTATTATTTAACAATTATGTTAATATAAAATTTACCGAAAGGTATAATCACTATTTAACAAAAATATATTCCTCACTCTGAATTTTATCTAAAACTTATTTAGAGAAGTTTTAATCTATAAATAAATATTTTAAACCCTAGTATGAATCAAAAAATAAGTTGATAAATTATTATAATTGAAATTGAAATTCCATTAAATTTTTAAACACATTTAGTTCTGAATAAATTATATATTGTTTGCAAGTATTACAAATAGTAAATTATTCGATTCATTTAAATGCAATGAGTACTATTAATGCACTATTTGATTATTGTGATTATACCGTTTTATTTTATTAACTTGAATTCTAAGTTGTCCGAAAAGCAGAGGACACTGTAATGTTTGTAATAAAAATGTGAAAGTTCAAGTGGTTACTAGGTAAATCTAAAAATGGGAAGAACTAAGTCATCAGAGACACTTTGATGATCATGTCAATTTGAGATAAGATGACGGAAGATAGATTACATTCAGTAAGAAGAGGGGTAGGATATATTTTAAGAAAATGATAGTAGAAATAATATAAGAAAGTGATTTGAGAAGATCTAAGAAATGCAACCAAATGGTGGACATGGTGAATGACAGAATGCATTGAGGATTAAAATAAGTGCAAATAAATCATTCATGTGAATCATATAATATAGGATCATTATAATTCATTTTTGAATAGACCCACACATTAATAAGTTTAAATTATGAATATTGAAACATTGATTTCCCAGAAAATATATTGTCTCAAAAAATATTGGCTTAAACAATGATCTATTTAGCTTAAAGTGGAAACCTAAACTCATAAAAAAAAATTTATTATTCTATTTATTAGTTATATAAACTTCTTTCAAGATTGGTATACTAATTTTTCGCAATTTATTTTGGTGTTAAAATAATTTACTAATGGAGAATATCATTTATAAAATTTATTTTTAAAAATATCCCGTTTTGAATAAAAACGTTGATAACTCACAATTAAAATATTCTAGGTCCATCATCGGTTTTATTTAGTATAGTAAAATGGTCCACTAAAGTTTTGAACTTTCACATTATTAATTAATAAATTCTTTTTAAATATTTTATTAAGCATTTCCTATTAGAACAAAATTATTTCAATATTTTTTGCAAATTTTTTTCAAAATTGATATTTTATATTCTAACCAGTTTAAAGTAATATTAAGATATATTATGAAAGTGGGTTCTTTCTATATAATATAGATATAATTATTGCCTGGACTTAAGTAGTGATTTATTTATTAAAAAACAATTCAAATCGTTGTTGAACACAAATAGCAGGTAGCACGCTATTTCAATTTCTCAGTAGCCTCACTAGAGGAGGTTATCGCCCTGGAGCTCGAGCCACCTAAAAAATTTGAAGAGATATTTCAAAATTTTGAAATTTTTATACCACTAAAAAAAGGTAATTTAGGATAATGTTTGTTTTTAAAAAAAAAAGGTAAGATAATTTTAAAAATGATTTTAAAATATATTTTGAGCACCCTGCGATTGTAAAAGCTAGTGATGCCCCTGGTTTCTAATATAAGAAAATAAGCGATATTCACTTATATTTCATGCGGGAAAGGTTTATTAATACCTGATGATTTGTATTGATACTGTTGTATATAAATATATTAAAGTTTTATGCCTCATAGCGTAATTTAAAACATTTTAGTTTTATATATATTTTATCACATTACAATTTGTATTTTTTTTTATTTTAGTTTATATCATCGTTTAAGTTACATTTTATTTATATTATTATTGCGTAAAACTTCGGTGATCAATTATTATTTAATAAGTATTCTATTTTACTGAGATATATAAAAGAAAAGATGTTTTTGAATTTTATATAGATTTATATTTAAAAATGTGATTTATGATACTACTTTGATACGAATAAATTTATTGAAAAATATGTAATTATGATTCAAAGAGATTTGAAATACAATACTATCTACTGGAACACCACAATTAACTATTAAATAACAGATACATATTTATAATAGAAAATTGACCGTTTTCATTTAAAGTACTCTATTTTTATGATTTAAAAACTATTTAAATGGTCCTATTTTAAACAATTGTATTACCTAGTAATGTACCCGGCATTTTTTATACATTCGTAGCATTAGAGAGTTATAATTAGATATAAATCACGTGAATATTTATAAAAATTTATTAAATGTCACAAATTTTCAATCAAGTTTATTTTATATAAAAACACAATTTTATTGAGAGATAAGAGAGCGATAATTTTATGTCAGAATATTCAGTTTTAGATCCTGAATCACAGCAAAAGATCCATGAAAATTTTTGGGAAAAACAATCGAAGATTGTTGATAACATTAATATGGTATAAAATGTTTCATTATTTAATTTTTTATATAATTTTTCAAGAGAGATTTACATTTAAGAATCCAAGACCTACCTTTAGCCAGAATTAAAAAAATTATGAAACTTGATGAAAATGTTAAGGTATATTATATTCAAGACATTTTGAATTATTAATAAAAAATTATAGATGATAAGTGCAGAGGTACCTATATTATTTGCTAAGGCAGCTGAGTTATTTATTAGTGAGATAACAATGAGGGGTTGGTGGTGCACGGAAGAAAACAAAAGAAGAACCTTACAAGTACATATGTGATATTTTTGAAGATTTAATATTTGTACAAAGAAAAGTGATATAGCATTAGCAGCTAGTAGATATGATCAGTTTGATTTTCTCATTGATATTGTTCCAAGAGAAGAAATTAAAATGTCTGTAAAAAAGGTACATTTTATTTTATAAATAATAGTATTATCAAAGGTATCAGAAGAGGTGCAAAGGGTTGATAAAATATTTAACAGGGTATTCCTTAAATTAAAAACAGTAAATTTTAAACAACCCTAAATAATCAGGAATCAGTGATGTCACTAATATTTTATTTAAAAGATATAATTATGGATTATACACTATAATATATATATATCTTCATCAATATTTTTATCTATCTTAAAATGATCTAGTTATTAATGTTTATATCTTGGAATTGGGAAGCTCAGCAATTAATTTTTAAAACATCACTAGTTAGGAATGTTAATGCAACTTTAAAATAAGTTAACAGGGTTGTCAGATTTTTTTCAAACAATAATTGAAAAAATTTAACCACAATTCTAAAAATTATTTTAATGAATTACAAAGTATTGTAAAATCAATATACAATATAAATCATCCATATTTTTTTAGAATTTATTATTATTTATCACATAAATAATTTGTGTTTTAAATCAAGGTTCTGCCAAGCATGGATTCAATATCCGATATCTCCAAGTTTGATGATATTTTAGATGAATTGACACTAGTTTTTTTATTAGAATAGCTCAGAATTATTGGAAATGTCTTGATATATATTATTTGAGGCATCCATTGATAAATAAAATGGATTATTTTCCTTCAAATCTGTAGATAGAAATATCTACCTTAGTAGTAGGGTCTTTGATATTCAAAATGGTTTTTATTTTTCTTCATACAATCTTTTTGGCTATTTTTGAATCAGGAAAGCTAATAGGTAATAGGATTGCAAAGCAAATCTATCTATAAATCACTAAGCAATTTTATAGAGGATAAGTGGATATCACTTTAGATATTGGATATACAGTATTATCACCATATAAATTCTTTTTATAAGTATAGTTTTGATATTTTTAATGAATTATTCTTTTAAATTGGATATACTTTTGCCTTGGTGAATTATGGACTGTTCTATTTCTGATGTTAAATTTTGTATTAGGATCATTCCATGTCAAATCAATCATAAAGGCACATTTTCTATCTACCCCCCCCCCCTTTAAAATTGTTTAAAATTTCTGGAATTATTAAGATAGGTGAAAAATTAGCAGACCTGGTTCACTGGATACAGCTAGGGATGTAAATTTCCTGGGAAACTATATTTTGGGGAAAGTTCCCAGGAAATTTGGGGAAATGACGAGAAACTATCTTTTTATACTTTACAGTTTTTTTATATTTTATTAAAAATATATAGATTATAAACATTATAATTAAACAAATATGAATCAATTTCAACTAATTTGTGATTACTTTACATGTTTTATTTGAAATATTAAATATAGACTATAAATAATATTTAAACAATTAATTTTGAGTAGTTAATTATCTTCGTTTGAAGATGAAAATGATTCCAGATCAGAGCTTGAAATTCTGGGATCCAGCAATTTGTCTAAAATGTAGATTAGCTCTTATATAAACTAATTTGCGAACTTTGTCATTTTTTATTCTATTTCTAGATTTAGAATGAATATTTCCAGAGGACCATATTCTTTCGGATGCTGCACTTGTTGGTGGTACTGATAAAATTTGTATGGCTAAGGTCAATAGTATTGATTGCAACATAGACCTAATAAAATATTGAATAACACAATTTTAAGATTAGAAAAAGAGTTAGGTCATTGTTTACAGTAATATAAAAGTATTTAACCTTTCCATCAACTCACTTGATCTGTAAATGATGTGTCTTGCCAAAGACTTGCCATATTAAAAAAAATCTTCCTTTGCACGATATTTGGATAGGTTTCTCATTACTCTTGCAATATCGATATCTAGATATCCAGAAAATCGGTTAATAATATCCAACCCCTTTGCAACTTCATTGTCTCTTAAATTAAATCCGCAAAACTTTGGGTCAAATATATGAGCAGCATCCGACATCAAAATTTTTTTCGGCTTTTAATAAACTGATCAATTTCTGAAATCTCGCTTTGCGACAATAGATTTGATATTGTTTTATAATCTTTAAATGTCTCCCTGATATGATTAAATGTTGAGGGACATCAGATAAATTGTCTTTATCCCCTTCCACTATCTCTATTTGTGTAGTTGCATTAGATCATTTAAAAACCGATCATTATTGAGAAGGGTAAGTCTCTTATCTCGATCATTAAATATATCAAGAATTGCCATTTCCTGCATAATATCTTTATTTTTTAACAAACTATTTATCATCAAAACTATACCTGCCCAACGAGTTGGGCTAGGCAAGATACATATAGACTCTAGCCATGCGAATTTTATCAGTACCACCAACAAGTGCAGCGTCCGATTTCGTTTTTCTTTTTTTTAAAAAAAAAGTATATAATAAAAGTTTAAAAAATTAAAATATATCCTTACCTTGAAAATAAAATAATCAAAGAATTTATCCGTCTTTTCTTTCGATTTTTTTTGTAAAAATAAAAAGTAAAGGAATTACTTATCAAATTCGTCGTTCGATATTGGAGATGATAAAAGGACAAATAAAATTTTTTGACTTTTCTTTTCGATAGTCAAAATTTTATCCAAATTTACAAAATTATAAAAGGTAAAAAAAATAAAATATATATATATATAAATAAAAGAGTAATATGATAAAAAATAGTTTTTCATCAAAATCTTTCAATTTCTACGTTAGGATGTTTTGTTTCAAAGCTTTTAACATACCGCACTGCATAATTATTGATAAGATGTTGAGGGAAATGGGAGGATGCAGTAGATTCTCTTATGTCCGAAATAACAGGACGAATGAAATTCACTTTTACTTTAAAACCCTCCTAGAGATGATCAATACTTATATGTCTCTTAATGGAAAACCTTACGTTTTTGATGAAAATAAATTCATTTTTATATTTTGTGCAATTACGGAATATTAGAAATTAAATGTTAAATCTTAAATATCTTTGCAAACATTATACGCTTTATATATTTGACATACTACATTTATAGGGTATAGAAAATTTTCCCTATGTTACGTTATTAAATAAAAATTTAAGCGATGCTTAACAGACAGTCTATAGAATATTAATAAAATTTTTTTAATTTTCCTTCATAACTTAAAGTAGTATGAAATTCTTTGTGACGAGTCAAGTCTAGATATTTATAGATAATTCAAATTAAAACTTAGTGGACTAAATCCTATTTACGAATTTGAATTAAAATTTTTATAGACAAACTATATCGAAACTTAATGGACCACATTCTCTTGATTAAAATTTTGTATACAACTCAAATTTGAATTTAATGGACTAAATGCATATTTTGCTTTTACGATTTTAAAAATTGAAAGTTTACCTTATTTAAATAAAATTTTAACATGGATGATAAATTAATTCTTACGCAGACTCAATATGTTCCTAAATTTCCCGTGTTTTCAGGGAAATTGTCGGAAACTTACATTAACTTAATTGAAACTTATTTTGATGGACATATTGGGTCAGACTCATCTAAAGTTAGGACACTACTATGTAGCTTACCAATTGAGATTGTAGACCAATTTACGTCGATATGTTCTAAAGCACAGTTAAAAGACTTTAATATTGTTTTTGTAAGCTATTCAAATTCGTAAAGAGGATTTAGTCCACTAAGTTTTAATTTGAATTATCTATAAATATCTAGACTTGACTCGTCACAAAGAATTTCATACTACTTTAAGTTATGAAGGAAAATTAAAAATTTTTTATTAATATTCTATAGACTGTCTGTTAAGCATCGCGTAAATTTTTATTTAATAACGTAACATAGGGAAAATTTTCTATACCCTATAAATGTAGTATGTCAAATATATAAAGCGTATAATGTTTGCAAAGATATTTAAGATTTAACATTTAATTTCTAATATTCCGTAATTGCACAAAATATAAAAATGAATTTATTTTCATCAAAAACGTAAGGTTTTCCATTAAGAGACATATAAGTATTGATCATCTCTAGGAGGGTTTTAAAGTAAAAGTGAATTTCATTCGTCCTATTATTTCGGACATAAGAGAATCTACTGCATCCTCCCATTTCCCTCAACATCTTATCAATAATTATGCAGTGCGGTATGTTAAAAGCTATGAAACAAAACATCCTAACGTAGAAATTGAAAGATTTTGATGAAAAACTATTTTTTATCTTATTACTCTTTTATTTATATGGTGAATTCCATATCAAATCAACCAAGGTTTCAACCCGACCCCTTTCAATTTTTTTTAAATTTTGCATACTGATGGTATATACTATAACTAAGAAAAAAATGAAATTTTACCTCCCAAAAAGGCTTACCCGCTAAGATATGGGCGTTTAAAGCGCGGAAAAATGGTACATTTTTGACAAAAAGTGCCTAATTTATTTTCAAATATCTCGAGAAATAATTAAGTTAGAAAAATAATTTAAATTTTATTATGTAGCTTAATAATAGTTCTTTAATATGACATAAAAATAAATATGATATAAATTTGATGAATGTCCAAAACCGGATGTATAAAACCGGAAATGGCCATAGAAAAAAAAAGGTATTTTTTTTTTCGAAATTTTTTTTCTATAGATAGATATAACACTGCTTTATATTTGTGCCAAATCCTAGCCTGGGATAAAAAAGGGTCTAGGAGTTATGACTCTTTATATGGCTTAAATTGATCAAAAATATCTTCATTTAATGAATACTTATGAAATAATGTTTTTTTAAAAATTATGTCTAAATGATAGGCCCTAACTTTTTTTTATTTTTAATTGTTAACATATTGTGAGTGAATAGATTTGCATTCTTACGACCCAAAAACTGTGTTTTAGCAGGTGGTCCAGGTACACATACCATGTGTATCTGCACACTACACCAAAATTTTAAGCTTATTTTAATAGGGGGAAAATTAAAACAGCTTACAAACAATAATGATCATTATAATTATCCTCCAATAAACGATTATAAACATTGTATTGCACAAAGTCTTTGCAATCCTGCCCAGCCTGGATGTTACTTCAATAAA